ATTGGTTATTTATGTACGTGAATTTGTTGCTACGCGTTTTTGACAATATTACAGATGCGCACTTACCGGGAATGAAGGTCAGCAATTTGCCTTTGGCAATCAGACGAGATCGCAGCAGTGCGTTCGTCGGTCGAGGAGGGCTGTACGAAGAGAATGTCCCGTTGGCCATGTAGCTGTTTCTTAAGCAGGAAGCAAGCGACGAAGACATAGCACGTAATGAAGACAAAAACCCGTTTTAGTACCTGAAAGTTTTGATGCAAGAGGCAACCTGATCCTCGCTGGTCATCCATGTCACAAACTCGACGATGCGTCGGTTAAAACTGGAGCCGAATGCGCCGTGTACGAACTGGCGAACGAATTCGACCATTCGCCGACGAATCCACTGGTTCTTTTCCCGCAGAGAAAATATCTCGTCCAAGCATAACAACAAGATCCTGAAAGGAACCTCGTCTGAGCGCTCAACGTTCAACACGTCTGCTACTCGACCACCGGCACGCCCGTCGCCATTTACCTTCTGCGCCGAATTAACCTATGACAAAAAACAGACGAAATACACTAGCATTATTTCAAAGTTTGAAACAGTTAACTAGGAAACGACCAAAGTATGGAATGGAATAGTAAAGAATACAGCGCAAGGTAAGGTACTGTGTAGGGTAAATTGTTAGCCGCAGTAGCGAAGGCTCAAGCATTCAGGAAGTACACTGGCCTTGCGACACCGGAATAAGGCGTACGGCGTGAAGGTCCAGATCAATGCAATTTAGAGATGGAAGAGTCTAATACACACCAACTATGCACAGAAACGCATCGCTGGCAAGCAGTTGATACTGTGGAAACGATAGTCCGCAACCAGGGGTAGCTCAGTCCAAACAGCGTTGAGCAGCATCCAAAGATGGCAGATCAAATGCTGGCCGGATCACAAAATTTTTACTCAGGAAGTTCAATTTTTAAACAGTAGACATATCGCTTAAACTGTGATATACATAGTGTCGTAAAATACAGCCTCTAAAAATGCAAAGCGTTTCTGTGATGCAAGAAAAATATAAATCAGAATCACAGTGCAATTTCACTAACGGTAAGGAAGACCGACATCAAAACAGTACCTGACATTCCTTTCGTGGAGCCCTGCTGCCGTTCGACAAAGGTAACCAATATGTTCCAATGCGCGACGTACTGTTACAGTTTTATTTAGCACTTAATGGTTACCGATGAAAATGGCTGTCCGCCAAAAATGCTCAGAGGAAAAGTGCAGATGCTGCTCAAAATTTTATTTTGTTGGTTGTTCCATGGCGGTTGCATACATAATTACAAGGATGAATGCACAACAGCACAATTATGGCCTAACGCAGATACAACATGAAGATCGTAGCACAGCGCTATGTCTGACAGACAAAATTTATTGTCCATTTGGCCCTGTAAACCTGAGAAGAAAACAGAAGGTAGTGTTTGGAAGTAATGATTAACTCAGAATAGCGATTCTCCGCTATGGCGATATCACAGAACGAGTTACATATTGCTGTTACCCCCAGCATGGACCTTGTCGCCTTTCCAATTTCATCACTGACTCGAATCACGCCATCAAAAAGTGCATCCGGTACAGCGATGACAGCGTTGCCAATGCTCTTCACTCCGGTGCGAATCGGCTCGACGACAGATGTTATCTGAAAACAGCCAAAGTAGATCTAGTATAATCACAAGATATGGCGACAAGTACAGTCAACACAGGAACCGAAGATGCTTCAATCAGTTAGGCAGTTTCCACTGCCGAAAATCTCTTCAAGTCAAGGATCAAAAGTTTAAAAAAGTCTCCGACGTTCCGGATGCTCTTCCTGAATCTTTTATCACATTGCACGCAACAGTCTCACCTCATATCAAAGTCAGCTGGTTAAGTGCCATTGGTCTTACTCGGCAACTACATGCAATTTGCTAAGAGAAAGTGTTGCAGGGCTTTATTTTATGTCAAGGCGACCACGGAAACAAATCTCTAGAACCAGCAGCCTTTCACACAATGATCTACTGAGGCACGACTGGTCTTCTGTGACACTTGCATGGCATGGTTAAGAATGCGCTGAAAAATAGCACTCATTCACTACATGACAGACTCTAACAATGTCTGTCGCAAATTTCAGCAACTAGATTCATCTATGTCAATAATTTTGCTAGAACGGAACTACAAAGAAGATCTATATTCCCTGCAGCAGGATGCGTTCGACGAAGTCTCACGGATGTTAAAAATCAACACTTCTTCTACCAGTTTGTCGCTATTAACTTTGCTTCGTGGTTCTGTACTGGTTTCAACAGTGGTTCGTTTGTTCCTGATTTATTCCTGTTAGGTCTGAGCGCGCAAGTGCAATATTCTGTTATTCAGTATTTTGTGACCTGTACACCGATGTATGTTCACCTTTAAATTTTATTTTGCTGAAAAATGTAATTCTTTGGCGATCCCACTCAAGAAATAAATTTTAAATTATTCATGCTGAGCCGTCGTTCGTGAAGAATATGAAAAGTCTCTAGGAAACAAAATTTACCACATGAATTTCGTCTATATATCAAGGAATTATGGTCTTCCTAAATATTCCCTTAACCTGAGACGGCCAGAAACCAGTGGGCTGCGTAAAATCTAAATATGGAGAAGTTATGCATTTGCCTTAGAAACTGTGCAACTATAGAGAACGGTGAAAAGAAATAAGAATAGTTCTCAATGAAGATATGCAAAACAAACGCCATGTGAACATCATGCCACACACTACTCTTATTTACCTTATCACTCAGCGTAGCGTTTTCGACCAGTAATTTCTTTCTGGAGAGAAAGTCGAGAACCACATCCTCAAGACCAGTGTACTTTCTCACAAGATCAGGATTTAGCAGCATCTAAAACATACAATACAGCATACGTACACGTAGTCAATTTCGTTTCCCATAGTCTAGGAATGAACATGTCATTTAAAGACCCCGCTTACGCATAAGTTCACCTTCATTTCATCATAGCTTGTTATGATATCCCGCAAAACCTTAAACTACCACGGTACCGAGATGTACCTTATAAAAAATTCATACATTCTATGTTCATGCCGGATACACCAACGAAATGGCAGTTTGCTGCTGTCACGTAGATCGGTCGGTCGGCAGAACATGAAATTCCCATTATCGCATGATCAGGCAAGAATTTTAACAATATCAGGCGTATTATCGCACATTTATGGATTAATGAGAACTACTTCATGGGGAACTACTGGCATTATTCACTGATTCCACGGAGAGCGAAAATTTGGTCAGAGTAAAGTACTCAGTCTGAAGTTTGGCTTGTGTGGATAAAATCTGCGATTAGTAGCCTCATTTATCCGTTCCGGATTACCGCCGAGTAAATTTTAGCTTTAATCATGAACACTGGCATGATATCATGACGGCTGGATAGTCGGTTGTACTCCCTTGAGTACAGAAAAAATATGATCGCCGAAACTAAGGAGTGTTGTAGCAAAAGTCATACGTACGAAATACACATTCAACACGGATCACTTTATGTAACGAATCTGCATAGCAGTGGCTTAGGGCACCAAATGGATATAGCAATAAAAACTTTTTTCGAACATGTTTCACTATCACACTGGGGACGTAATCTGTGAACAATTAATAAGGTCGATCGCCTGCTACTTTATCACCAGATTAACAAAATACAAAAATGCAAAATATAGCGAACATAAACGACGGATATGGGTTGCTCATTATATTAATCCAGAAGTGTGCATGAAATGTGTGCCGACACCGCAGGTTTCATCTATTTTTGAAGAGCACCATTCATTGCACATTCGTCACATGTGTTCCAAGATATGAAGGGGCTCATTTATCAAACCTGATTTTGAACAACCTACGTCGATTACAGATATGTCCGCCAAACTGACAAAGTTTCCCTCGAAAATGCCAGGTTGGAAAATGCCACATCTTGTCCAAGAAGAACTCCAGACAAATGTTCTTCGATACGGATGTTCAGCTTTCAGTGTGTTCCAAATATATACAGGCTAGTATTATCATTCACTAAACATTTCACAACATAAATTCATATGAGGAAGAATAGCGATCCACCCTGGAATTTTCGTTAGAGGATAAAGTACACATGAACAGCGTAATCCCAAGCGGCTCCAAGTGTAAAAAAAACTCTTACACGCAAATAGCTCTCCAGAGCTCGTTTCCGCTTTTCAAGAAAATCATAGCTGAGATTTCTGAAAACCCTTTTTGCAGGAAAACTGAGTTTAGCCAGAGACGGGAACTGAAAACAATGATGTCATCGAAAATAAGACGGCAAAATAAGTGAGATCTTTGCCTGACCTTCTGTCTGATTATGGTATTGAACTGAGAGAAGTCAGAATATCTCCTGTTCACCGTCCACTGCAACACGCACTCATGTCTGCTGTTCAGCTTCTCGACACTCACATGGTAAACGGCGAAGAGAGACGACTGCACATTGCCAATGCCTAAATCCATCAGAGTAGCACACGCGCTAATATGTTATCTAAAAGCTTCATACACTCCACGCTTTATGAAACCGTATCGCACATCTGCCCATTTAAATTCGCATAGCGGCAATTCTTCTACCTCGTATTTATCCGGGGATAAGTATAAAGGTCTTTTAGATTATTCGTTTTATCTAATCCACTTCTTCATACCGCAGCTAATATTATACCAATATGCATATATTTACCGCATCGACGGTAGCAGATTTTCAACAAAGCCAAGGAAGCCGAATTAACAGATTACATTTCCGGTGAAATGGGAAAACTGCCATTCGTGGAACCTAAACTTCAGAACTCCTGCTACATAACAATATGGCATTTTTTCTATTATCTGCATATTTTGCCGATGGATCGTGGCAGTTATGTTTATGCTTGTACAAACTTTTGCATAGCCCAACTCAGTGACGCGGTCTTGCGTACTATACATTACAAGCACATAAGTACCACTGAGCCGTTGCCTCCTAAAATAGTCCCTTTATGGGGGCTGCACTACTTGTGTAATGACTACCATTAGTCATAAACTACCGCGACATCACTGTAAACTGAGTAACTTTACCTTTCAGTTTCAGAACTGTAAATAAGGTACTAGTAGTAAAAGGAAAGAACACCATTATTATAAGAAGCCAGTGCTGCACATTAATAATAATAAATGATAAAAGTATGCCATTAATTTTTGTGGCGCTATTTTTCTGAAGTTCAATATGCACAATGGACAAATAGCAGCTTTCACAGGTAGAACAGAGTCATAGTGCTTTCAAAGAATTTGAGAATGAGTGCTAAGAAAAACAAGAAATCAAAATCAAA